GTCTATGCTGAAAGCGAATATGGTCACGTATTTAATTCCCAGTTCATGGCAGTACCTGATGATGAGCAATGCAAGTTTCTAATATGTTAAGCATCCACATTCATCCAACCTATGTAATGATTCAAATCAACATATATACCATTGGACAACTACTAATTTGTGGAAAGGCCTAAATCTTTTTTTGAGTGGTATTGACTTGATTACAATATAGTATCTGTTCGTACTTTCTCCATGTAATGACATACAATGAGCCAATACCTCCGCTTTTGTTGGGACTCAATCAATGTGAACTTCCCAATGAATCTTGAAGAGTGGGCTTCCTACCTACCACTCACGCCAAGGGATAAGTTTGAAAAGGCCTAAATCTTAATTGTTCTGTTTACTATTTTTGTCTCATATTGTATTTCATAATGTTTGTGTCTTATATGTATTCCTACTTTTGAAGATCAATGTTAACCATACAATTTCACTTTTCTTAATTTTCGCAGCTTATGAAACAAATTAATGCGGGACTGACCTGAGTATGCATAGCAAAGCAAGAAATGCTGCTCTGTAGCCTACCACCAGTGGGATTTTCATTTTCTTGGCGTACCTACGGTTTCCGTCCAGGATGAATGCAATGTGTTTGGGGATCACGCCTGCGAAGAGAATGCGGAAAACCAATCCTCGGAGGCACCTGAATAAGCTCCCGAAGAACCACCCTACGAACGTCTTTTGGTTTCGCACATCCATTTCCTTGGTTCAGAGATAAGTGACCCCCACGTACAATGAGGAGGCTAAAATGATAGCATTTGTGATGAGGACGAATTTTTGGCATGAAATGTGTAGTTTGTTAATCACAGCAACTCAATGAAATTAAGGGTTAGTTAGGGTTAATGCCACAAGCTTTGCATGTTTTTGTTTAACATATACAAATACATACACATAATAATCACTGCTCGTGTATATTTCTATGAAACCATTGATTCCTGGCATACATAAACCTTCTTCTTACACATACCATCTTCAAAGGGTCAATTTGGTCAACTTCCGATATGACTATTAGAAAATTTCCTGCATACCTGATTGAGTCATCCAAAAGATGGATAGAATCAATATTCTAATAACGATTAAATTTCATAAAAAGTCTTCAGTTATAGTTTGTTTTATATATTTAGTCCCTACATATCAAATATCAATAACTTAGTTCCTAATTATTACGGAGTATATTGTTTTCCACGAATCGTCCTTTGTTAACATTTCCGTTAAAAATATGGATAAAATTGTAAATTCACGCTCCTCTCTCTCCTCAACTAAGCTTTCTCCCTCTCGCACTTCTTTCTCAAACCTGTCGCTGAGTTTGAAACTTTGAACCCAAAACTGAAACCATAACCCGTCGCACTCCTTTCCACGTTTTGAACGAAAACAATATAATAATTGAGAAGTAAATTATTGATATTTGATATGTAAGAACTAAATATGTAAAACGAACTATAACTGGGGACCTTTTATGGAATTTACTCTGAATTAAACTATATATATCCCAAAAATTGTACCTCACTTTGTACCCCGAAGACATGTACAAATATTTGTGCTAATGTAATGCTAATGTGATGGTTGACAATGACACAAAATGTTAGTGCAATTTTTTTGATTGAATTAAATTTTATGCCAGTATGAACTGTTAAAATGCTGGTACATTCTTTTGGGGTACAATTTGGGATACACTTCTTGGTTTATCCCTAGCATGGTTGAAAAACAATTGATTTTTTAAATTATATATGCATGTAATACGGAGTATAATAATGTTGATACATAAAAATGAGAAAAATAACACTCCCTAATTTAATAAATACTGTAACTTTTCAAAAGAGTTACTAATCACTTTCATTGTCAAATTTGAGGCTCCGTTTGGAATGCCTAAAATGATTTTTGGAAGTATTTCTATATTCTTAGACAATTTGTGGTTCAGCTTGACCCCAAGCGTGAATGAGGGCGTCACGGCGTGACCACTTTCAATCAAAATAATTAATATCTTCATACTCAATCATTCTGCTATACACCCACCATAATACATATTTTTATCTTTCTATCATATTCATTTGGATTAACCTAGGGGTACACCGCCCTACTCATTTACACTTCATCAAATCTCGTCAAGTCTCCTTCAAGCACCCCACTACACATAATCTTATAAGTACTCCGCATTTTTTATGTTAATCAACTATTAACATAGTTAGTGAGCACTATAAATATAATTATTAGTCCTTAGACCTGGCAAAAAATGACCCGACCTGTTTTTGATTCAAAACCCGACCTAAAAACACTGGGTTTTGAACAAAGGTTTTGATGACCGAACCCGAAGTTGACCGAATCTGAAATGACCCGCTAAAAATGGGTCAAACCCGACTGGACCCGAACCTGACTTGACCGACCCGCTAAAGTAAAAATTTTTCAAAATCATACACTTTACTACTCGTTTTTAGTGTATAAATTTATATTTTCATATAAAATTTTAATGATATTGCTTAATTATCTTACTTTTTCCAAAACTTAAGCATTTTTTAAATTCCTTATATTGGTTTATATATCTAAAAATTGTTTCAGAATTTAAAATAAAATAATCCAATAGATTTAATACATTTTTATAATATTTTAAATTTATTGAATAGAAAATGTAAGTGTTAATGTGAATTTAAGAATTTAAAAAACCAAAGTCATAACCCGTTGGGTCGACCCGAACTCGATGACACTGGGTCATGAACATACAGTTTTCAACCCGAACCCGAATGGACCCGAACCCAAAATAACCCGAACTCGAAGTGACCCGAACCCGAAATAACCCGAACTCGAAGTGACTGAACCCGAACCCGACCTGACCGACCAATTTGCCAGCTCTGTTAATAGTCCTACATCTTATAAAGGGCCTTTTTATTACTCTCTACATTTCTTTTTAACTATTTTATACGTTTTGCATGCCAAATGTTTGATTAATGAGTAAATTCTATAATTGGTCCTTTATAACAGGGGGGTTTCCCTATTTAATCATCTATTATCAAATATTATTCAAGTGGTCCTTCTTTTATGGGTACCTTTCCACAAATAGTCCTTTTTTGCTCTTCTATCATGTTGGTGTTAATTTGAGGGCTAAAAGTGTAATTTCACAATGATAATATATCTTTTTTGTCATACTTAATTCCAAAGGCTGTTCCGTTTGTGTCGTTTGTGAATTACAATCGCTTTTTACGACAACTATAGTCTACAATTCTACAAATGTGATCTTTCGTCAGAGTCCTAGCCCACAATTATAGTCATTATTTTTGTGTTATCCGCTTAACCAATATCAGAACACGTCACTAGACATAATGTTGACGTCAAATTATACTTTTAGCCTTTAAATTAAAACCAACACGGCAGAAGATCAAAAAAAGGATCATTTGTGGAAAGATACCCTTAAAAAAAGGACTACGGAGGTAATATTTGATAATAGAGGACTAAATATGGAAACCCCCCTGTTATAAAGGACTAATTATGGAATTTACTCTTGATTAATTGCATATTTACTTCATCCCAAAAAATGTCATCATTCTTCATTTTTCAAAACTTACGAGAACTTTTGTTTATTTGTATGTTTTAATCGATTATTTAATAAAATAAAATATTCCTATTACCTCTTTTCTTAAAGAACTTTTGACCACAATTCCTATTTTACTAGGATTATAATCCTCTCTTGTAATTCCTATATATAGGATGTATTCTTTCGTGTTCAATAAGACCAACTAACTATTATCAAACTATATCATGGTATCAGAGCTAAGGTCTCGATCTATCTCTTCTAGAAAAACCTAACCTCTCATCTTTTACGATTGTGCGCCACCGCATGGTCGATCGCCATAGATTATGACCTCGCCGTCCATTATCCCTCTCCTTCTCTCCAAAAAAGTTATGAGTGTGCCTAGCAACAGCTGTCCTTTATCCCCTGTGTCTATAAAAAAATGAAATCATGTGCGTGATCGAAGAGCTGTAAAGCTGCATTTGTGTATGTTTCTTCTAGAGTTTGAGAGCATGAAAAGCAATAGAGAAGCAAAGAACGGTCCAAAAGGGAAAAAAGAAACTCCTCGTCCTCGCTTTAATCGCCAACACTCTCTTCAGAAAAAAACTCATCACATGCACTCTCAAGCTTGTTCGTCACACAAAAATATTTGTATCTATGCTTCTAGCAAGCTTACTCATGAAGGCGATATCTTCTTCGCGTTTCCAAGCTTTCACTTATGACACGAGCTCAGCTTGAGGGAAGATGTTAGACAACAACAACGACGATAACAACAACAACAACAATAATAATGGTAATAATAATAATAATAATAATAATAATAATAATAATAATAATAATAATAATGGTAGTATTAGTTATAGTAGTTTTTGTATTTTAGTCAGCTTCTATTAATATTTTTTATTCCTAGTTAGGACTATAATTCCCTCTATATACACTCCCATATATTCCATTATTTCTTGAGGTAATATAATTATTCCATTATTCAAAATTGACATTACTACCAACATTTACATCATCATCTTGGAGAAGTGTCCGTTCTTTTGTTTTATTGCGAGCATTGCTACCTCTCCCTTTCTTTCTAATAAACCACGCGTAGTGGTTCAAACCCATTCGGTACATTCTTTGCCATGTGGATGTCACTTCATCAAACTCAATTTCAGTCAAAAGATTATGTAGTGGTAGGCCCACCCAATCATTGTTGATAAAACTTGAAGTCCTGTGTAATTTTCTAGCTCTTAGGCTTTATTGCTCTAATACAAAAATTATACAAGAAATGTTTTTATTATCAAACATTTATTAAATACGGAGTACATAATATACGGAGTAATTAAAATTTAAATTAATAAAACTTTATAAAATTAAAATATCATTAAAATTGTTAAAGATAACCAAAATTGACGAACACTTATAACATGCGTGGACTTGAGGTAAGTATAGACAAACCTTAATTCCTTATTGTTTCACACCCCAACCTTTATAACTTGAATACTTAGGCTAGCAGTGGGGGTGGACATGGCATGACTGCCCAAGGCCTTAGGTCCACGTCCCAACTTACGCTTAGCTCTTCTCCTCTTTCTTCTCGGTTTGGCAGGGGCTGGAATACCCAGGGCAGAATCAGCCCCTTTCCTAATCAAGTCAGCCTTCCCAAAGGTGTTCCTGTCACGCTTGTCAAAGGAACACCTTTGGGAAGGCTGACTTGATTAGGAAAGGGGCTGATTCTGCCCTGGGTATTCCAGCCCCTGCCAAACCGAGAAGAAGGAGGAGAAGAGCTAAGCGTAAGTTGGGACGTGGACCTAAGGCCTTGGGCAGTCATGCCATGTCCACCCCCACTGCGTTGCCTTCCCCAAAGGACACCATGAAGACGGCCAGGACTGAGAGTAATGGCGCAGAACCTGCTGCCAAAACCGTGAACCATGATGGGCAGGGTGATGTTTGCTCTTCCACCACCATTCCGAAGGATTCTCTTGATCCTAGTGGTGCAACAAAGTCTACGGCCAAGGCTACTAAGAAAGTAGCACAAACGGATGCTAAAGTTTTGGGAGATGGAGCTCCGGCTTCAAACCAAAAACTGCAGCAACCCAGGGATAAGAAGAGCTTGAGTGGAAAACAGCCCGACACTGTGGGCGATGATGACCAGCTCGTTGGCACCTCCTCCACCCCTGCGCATGTTGAGCAAGCTGTCCAAGCAAACTCCAAGGTAGGGGCGTCCATCATAGAGAAGGGGAACAAGCCAACTGGAGCGGCCAAGAAGGCAGACCAGACCACCACAGAGAGCACACCACAAAAGGCACCATGGCGAATAAAGCTGGACAAGCAAAAGGAAGAGTGGCTTGATCGACTACTCAGATCATGGATTACCTAAGCTAGTACCGGCCAAACTTCGGGAGCTCATTGCCCGCAACCCTCCTTGTTTGAGGGATGCCTATGGAGCTCCGGTAGATACTCTGGAGTATACGCACTGGGAAAGATCAATGAAAATGCTTGGACGAATCAAATAGTCTTGGCCTTATCTCTTTTCTAGTACTTGATGACATGACTTGTCTTTGATTTTTAGGGGTATGCCCCGATGCATTGGTTGTATGTCTTGTATGTACTCTTTGTATTGACTCTTGGATATTAATAATTTACATTTTATCCTTGAATACTTAGGCTAGCAAACCGGGTTGCTACTAAATAGGTATCTAAACACAACTCATTTTCAAAACAATTTAGAATAAATAAACTCAAAATATAATTTAAGAATTCCTCGGAGTAATTAAAAGTAATGTGGAAGCTTAAGTCATTGTTTAAAACAAAACTTGGGATTCAAGTCCATAAAAGCAATAAGTTATTCATTAATGAATAATAATTCAAAGTCTTCAAATACACTCGAGCACATCTATTCGTCCCCATCACCATCCGGATTGGCTCCAGGTTCATCTTGACCTTGGTGACCTACGTGTTGCAAAGGAACAAATGCCACACGCTCAGCATTGAAGCTGAGTGAGAAATACTATGTATCTAACACTTGACTACACATACAGACAAACTCACTAGTTGATAGCATCACGCGATATCATGCATATAAAAATACTAAAAAATCATCACAAGCATTACAAAACGGATGATATAATTATCAAACACAGATATAAACACACTGAACATTCTAGTCACTCCACTTATAACTTCTTTAGCTCATAACCTATTCGAAGAGAGAGATCAAAGTGTTGCAGAGATTTGACATTGCAGAGGATCCACTTTGGGGTTGCCGCTGTAGATGAGCTACCATCGTCGCCAATCCCATCTCTTCATAGTTGTTAGGTTTTTTTTATCCGAAACTTCCTTCTCTTCCTTGCAATCAACTGTTGTGCATGGAAGAAGAGTCACCGGATGTACTAAGAGAAAGATACATCCGACTATACCGTATAATTTGTAAAACTATGAAAATTGGCTTTTTGTTGTGAACTCAATACTTTATTCATCATATACAGGGGTATTTATACATACACGGGAAGAGGTATAGTCTAGGTCAATAAGGAAATAAAATATTCTAAATAGAATGAGAAATACATCTGCCATATTTAACACTCCCCCTCAGATATATCATCATGCATTATAAACTAACAACATTATGCTACTGGATAATGTTGGCTAGGTTCTTCAGGACCTATATTAACTGATACTGCAGGATCAGTTATGCTGCCTCATTAAAACCTTACTAAGAAAACTCAATGGGACAAAACTTAGTGTTAGACAAAAGTGCAACTCTAGAGGGGGGGTGAATAGAGTTGTTTTCAAGAATGTACGTTTTTCGTAAAAATTATCGCAGGAAAAAGTAAGGAGAGTAAGGGAAAGAAGAACACCGGGATTTATACTGGTTCACCACCTCGTGGCTAGTCCAGTCCTCCGAGAGACTCTCTCGAAAGTCCTACTATTCTTCAAGCTTCAACGGGTGCTTGAAAAACCGGTACAACTTGAGAACTTGAATCACACAAGCCTCACTTTCTTACAACAACAAGACTTGAGTCACACAAGTCTTAAGAACAACACTCAAATGAAATTGAGTTTACAACACAAGAATGAAAGCTCACACAATTGAGCAAAGTAGTGTTGAAAGATTTAAGCTCTATGGATGACAACTTCTATAGCACTCAAAGAAAAAATATTTCTAACTCTCAAAAATAATATTTTGATGAGGAAGATGAAGCAAAGGATGAATAGCTCAAAGAAATATATTGGAGTGCAAGAGGTGTATGGAAATGAAGGAGAATGAGGGATTAAATAGGCTGAGGAAAATAAAGCCGTTGAAGAAANCCAGAGAGAATTAATCGATTAAATTAGGAATTTTAATCGATTAAAGTGTACAGAAGCGAAAAGCCTGAAACGAAGGCTGAATAATAATCGATTAAATTAAGGCAAATAATCGATTAATAGGCTCTGTCCGAACTAATCGATTAATTGCTGAGAAATAATCGATTATTGTTCAAAAATGAGCAGCCTGCTGAAAAGCTTAAAAATCGATTAAAATGGAGCAAATAATCGATTAGGAGGCTCTGTCCAAGCTAATCGATTATTTTAAGAGAAAAAATCGATTAAGAATTCAAACCTGAGAAATTGCGCTGGATCTAATCGATTATTTTAGAGTAAATAATCGATTAACATGAAAATAATGCGCAAACACAAAGGGCCCAAGCCAAGTGCGATTGGAAGCACTTTGGCTTCTAACTCGTTGTTTGAGACAACGAGAATAAGAAACGCTCCTACTATTAAATCTCCCTTATTCAATGAATTTGAGTAGGGGAGAAAAAAAAAGAGAGTCCAAAAATTATTTTGTGTGTCAAACAATACACGAGAAAATATTTAAAGTATATTTTTCTCACCAAGGAAAATTGTATAACTTTAAAAATTGATGTTTTTAAAAGAAATTTTGACACACTCATTTTGAAACTGACTCACTAAAATATTTTGGACAGAGAAAAAAAATGATTTTTCAACTGACTCAAAAATAATTTTTATCCCTCAGAAATTAAATTGTTTTGTGCAAAAGATATTGTCATCCTTACAAAAAATCCTAGACTCAATAAAAATTAAAAAGTCTTCGGAGTCTTCACATCACTTCAAAAAACTGCGTTGGGGGACCGTTGATTTTTATCCCGTAACTTTCTTGATACGCCTCTTTTCTTTTCTCGGTACGAAAATTGAATTTTCGATCATCGTTTGAATTTCATCATCCTGTTTGTCATTTATCAAAACAAAAATATTCCAGAGAAAATAATAAAGGGGTTTGAACTCATGTCCAACACTTAGTTAAGGGAAAAAGAGTACAACGTGTATAATATTTTCCCTCAAAATAAAATTAAACTCCCCCTCAAACTAATTTATCTCTTTCAGCCTGCGAAGTCCAATCTTCTTTATGAGTTGCTCGAAACTGTGTCTAGGCAGAGATTTGGTGAATAAGTCTGCCAAATTTTCGCTTGATTTAACTTGAAGAACATTGATCCCTCCTTCTTTCTGCATATCAGATGTTGAGAAAAACTTTGGTGAGATGTTCTTCGTTCTGTCTCCTTTGATATAACCTTCCTTGATCTGAGTTATGCATGCTGCATTGTCTTCATATATAATTGTATGATTCTTCTTGATTTCTTCCAAACTGCATGCTCCTTGTATATGATCAATCATCGATCTCAACCAAACGCACTCTCGACCAGCTTCATAAAGTGCTACCAATTCAGCTTGATTTGATGATGTTGCTGTTAGAGTTTGCTTTGTTGACTTCCAAGAAATTGTTGTACCACCGTATGTAAACACATAACCTGTTTGAGAATGTGCATTGTGTGGATTTGATAGATACCCAGCATCAGCATACCCTACAAGTTGGGACTTTTCATCTTTCTGGTAGAAGAGACCTAAGTCTCGTGTCCCACAAATATATTGAAATATTTGCTTTATCCCGTTCCAATGTCTACGTGTTGGGTTTGAACTGAATCTTTCTAATAGATGTACTGAGAATGCAATATCCGGCCTTGTATTATTCGCAAGATACATGAGTGCACCGATCGCGCTTAAATATGGTACTTCTGGACCAAGTACTTCTTCACCCTCTTTTTGGGGGCGATAAGGATCTTTATGTAGATCTAAGGATCGGACAACCATGGGTATGCTCAACGGATGTGCCTTGTCCATATTAAAACGTACTAACATCTTCTGGATGTAGTTTGACTGATGGACGAATATGCCATTGTGCAAATGTTCGAATTGTAAACCAAGACATAATTTTGTTGTGCCAAGATCTTTCATCTCAAATTCCTTCTTTAAAAGCTCAGCAGTTTTTTCTATCTCTTCAGGAGATCCAATGATGTTTATATCATCAACATAAACTGCTACAATAGTGAATTTAGAGAGTGATCTTTTTATGAAAACACACGGACTAATTACATCAGATTTAAAGCCATGCTTTTCAAGATATTCGCTAAGTCGATTGTACCACATACGACCAGATTGTTTGAGACCATATAAAGATCTTTTGAGTTGTATAGCACACTTGTCTCGAGGTACTGATTTTAATGCTTCTGGCATTTTGAATCCTTTAGGGATTTTCATGTAGATGTTATTCTCAAGTGTCCCATATAAGTATGCGGTGACAACATTCATAAGTTTCATCTGATATCCTTCTGAGATTGTGAGGCCGATTAAGAATCTAAGGGTTATCGCATCCACTACAGGGGAGTACATTTCCTCATAATCAACTCCTGGATTTGGGAAAACCCTTGTGCTACAAGTCGTGCCTTATATCGCATAATCTCATTCTTTTCATTTCTTTTTATTGCAAACACCCATTTATAACCCACTGGTTTGACGTCTATGGGTGTTCGGACTACAAGTCCGAAAACATTTCGTTTGTGAAGTGAATCAAGTTCAGCGTTCACGGCCTCTTTCCATTTTGGCCAATCATTTCTGTGCATGCACTCTTCTAGAGTTTTAGGTACGTAATCATTCTCATTGAGTACATCCATTGCTATAGCATATGCAAAAATTTCATCAACACGTGTTTCATGTCGGTTCCATATTGTACTGTCTTGTACATAATTAATAGAGATCTCATTTTCATTTGGTACCGATCTTTCTTCAGGAATATCATTTTCCTCTAGAAATGTATTAGTCTCTTCTGGGACATTTACCTCTACAGGGGTATCTTTCATAATCTTCTCTGTGGTTTCACCAACTGCACAATTTTGCTCCTTTCGTTTTCGTGGGTTCTTATCTTTGGAACCGATTGGTCTCCCACGCTTTCTTTGTATGGTAATCGCTTCTGGGATTACTTCAATACGAGTAGGTGCATTAGATGCTGGTATATGTGACTTTGTCACTCTATTTGTATCTATGAATGCATCTGGTAATTCATTTGCTATGCGCTGCAAATGTATGATCTTTTGGACTTCAGAATAACATTGACCACTTCGGGGGTCGAGTATTGATAATGATGATGCATTCCATATTACTTTTTGTGTTACCAGTCTTTCTTCATTCTT